CAACAAAAAACTCCACTTGTTTTAGTTTATTTAAACTAGTATTTCTTGATCATATTTGCTCTCAAAACATTTTAAAGTAATGTCTATGGCACACCTTGAAAAACATTGATACAGATGAAAAATAGAACCAAAAGATGGTGGAAATGAGCAGGGCATAGTGTTATACACATGTAATCCCAGCACTTGGGAGGCTCAAGCAGGAGGGTCTTATGTCTGAGGTCATCATGGGCTACATTACATAGGGAGACTCTATTTCAAGGCAAAAACAAAAACAAGAAAACAAAAAACAAGATGGCTGGAAGACTGGAAGCTATAAAGAAGCTTGAAATAAGGGCAGATTAAGTAGGTGAATTAAATAGTTTCATTTTCCACAAGGTATTGCCATATAGTTTTAGGATAGCCTGGAACTTGCTCTAATATGCTAACTGAACCAGATTCCAATCTCAGGACGCTGTCGTGTATTTTATACCTCCACATACTGCTCAGAGTACTCAGGTTTTAAATGCTTTATCTACTTTTGTCTGCCAGGTATGTATTTCTTTAAGGCTGGCCTTAAACTTGAAGTAATCCTGTCTCTGCTTTTGGAGTGCTGGAATTACAGACATGTGTCACCATGTCAGGCAAATAGTGATTTTTTACACGCAGAACATATCTCATAGGTCAGGTAATCAGTGAACATTTTTAGCACCTTAGAATGAGTACTTTGGCAAATAGGGAAAGAAGTATTACTGAGCTGGGAGGTGAGTACACGTGGAGGCTGAGGAGGACTCAGGCAAAAGCTGTAGAACAGAAAGTAAGGGGCAGATGAAGAGAAAAGGTTGAGGGCACTGGGATATAGCTCAGTGGCGGAAATGCCATCTAGCATGTACTGAGACTATGAGTTCAGTACCAGCATTAAAAAAAAAAGTGGGGAAAATTGAGGAAGGCTTCAGAAAGGAGAAGCCTGGTTGGGCACGATGGTGTATACTTGCAGTCTCAGAGTTCAGGAGGTAGAGGCAGGGGGACTACTGCAAGTTTGAGGCCAGCAGGGGATACATGGCAAGACCCCGGTTCAAACAAAAGAAAAATCCTTTACTGACTGTGAAATATCTCTCATCCCGGGAGCTTGTTCCTCTCTCACAAATGTACTATATATAAATTAATGCACCATACATAAGTGAACAGAGGCTTTATAAGATGGCCAGTCATGTGGGAAGGCCAATAGTTGATATTATCTGCTGGGATCAGGGAGAAGTAGGACTCGGCAGGGAATGGAGGCAGCAGTGAGAGGCTGGAGCCTGGACCTGCAACAGAATTTAGGTCAAGGTAGCCACAGCACTTCTATTCTGGGGACCTTCCCCTGTTGACGGAAAATTCTCTAGCCTACTCTACTCATCTCTCAATCTCTCAGAGATTCTGAAAATCAAAGATGGACAATAGAACACCTGAGAAGAAAACAATAGTTACATCATTTGCAGTTTCTGAAAGGACACATTTAGGCAGAGACTCCAAAGCATAATAGATCAACTGCACCACTTACCAGCTAGGAAGCATTAACCCTACATTTAAACTTCTTTGAACTGGTTTCTCCTTTACAAAGTACACTTACCACCATCTATCTGTGTGTGGCTAAAGTGAAATTACTGTTTCATTGATATAATACTTTGAAGACTCACTGCAAAGAACTACAAAAATACAAGTTACTTGCATTTTAAGTTAATTTTTTTTATCTCACTTGAAAGTATATTTTTAAGATTATACTTGTTACTATAGTATTTGGTATATCAAATAATAATGTGTATGTTTTCTGACTGAAATTGGTTCTCTTACTGATAAAGCCATATGAGAAAAGAAGTATCAGAACTCTGTTCTGTCCTACAAATATATGTATATTTAAAAGAACAGATCTCTTAATTTATGGTGTTCTCATTAACTTAGTCATGGTAACTTTATCAGGTCACTTATATGACCCCTTAGCCTGAAGAGTGTACACATACATACATGGGAAGATTTGGCCAATTTGGCTTTCAAGGGTGCTATGTGGACAGTAAACATGGTCAGGTGTAGGAAGAGATATGAGGCTTAGGGTCTCTTTTCTAATGCTTACACAAGATTTTTGCCAGAGCCAGAAGAATAGGGTAGTTTAATTTAAAAAGAAAAAAAAAGAAAGAGAAAGAGAGGAAGGAAGGAAGGAAGGAAGGGAGGCAGGGAGGCAGGGAGGGAGGGAGGAAGGAAGGAAGAAAAACATCTATACATGGTAGTGCACACATGTAATCCAGCATTGGGGAGGTCGAGGCAGGAGGATCAAGAGTCTGAGATAGTCTTGGCTAAGTAGCAAGACTATCTGAAAAACAAAACTGGGACTAGGAATATGGTTCAGCAGGCAGAGAACTTGCTTGGCAGGCACAAAGCGCCAGATTTTATCCCCAGCACTGTATAAAATCAGTGTAGTGGACAAGACTGCAGCCCCCTGTGCCCAGCAGGTAGAGGCAGGTGAATCAGAGTTCAAGGTCATCAACAAAGCAAAGAAAAAGGCTGAATCTAGGCATGAAGGGCACACCTCTAACCCCAGCACTTGGGAGAAAGACACAGGTGGATCTCTGGAGTTCGAGGTCAGCCTGGTCTACAGAGTGAGTTCTAGCACAGTCAAGACTACATAGAGAAACCCAGTCTCAAAAAAAAAAAAAAAAGCCAGAAGTGGCAGCATATTTTTGGAATTCAGCCCTGGGGAGGCAGGGAGAGGTGGTACTCTGAGGCTTACTGGCCAGCCTAAATTGACCTCTGGTCTTTACACACACCACAAAAGCTATTTTTCTTCTGGCATTAAAAAGAGGTAGCAGAACAATTGTCCATAGGGAACTTAGACAATTATTTGGAAATAACTGAATTATAAAGGGACTCTGTATATCTAACCACCTTCAATTGAATATTTCAAAGTCACTTTATAAACATTAATTAATTAAGCTTCTTAAGTCTTAAAGGATTAGGCCTCTGTGAGATAAGAAAAATAAAGCGGGTAAGACTACTAACAACAGGAATCAGAAGAGAAACTAGAGTCTAGCATCCTGGCTCTCTCACCGCTGTTCCTAGAATATGCCCAAAACAGTGGGGCAGTCCCCAAAATTCAGATTGTGATGACAAGCCAATACTAGCATTGAAGAAATACTGGGCTTTGGAAGTAAGATTACTATTCCAACACTGGTTTGTTTCATTGCCTACCAGTTTGCTGTAAGGGCCCTGAACAAATTATTTAATTTCTCTAAATACCACTTTTCCCATTTGTAAAACTGTATGTATCCGATCAAGCTCACATTGTTGTGAAGATTAAAATATGCATACCTAGTACAGGCACCCAGATGCCAGCTTGCTTTCTTCCCCTAAACTTTTTTAATAACTTTCAAACCATAGAGGTTTATTTAGATCTGTCACCAAGCTTTCGTATTTCCTAACTTCTGTTCATTTTTATTGATGTGAGTAAAGGCAGATTGACTTTAAAAAAAACAAACAAACAGACAGACAAGAGAAGTCACATTTCATTGTTAAAATTCAAATAAACTCTCAGCTCTAAAAAAGGAAGTTAATACAGTATTCTACAATTAGTCAGGCAGTGCTTTCCTAATTTAATATCCCTTTGGTTCAGAAAACAGACCAACAGTATCAGCAAAACCTGAATATTCTATAAATTAACTTCCCCAAAACCAGTAAGGTCACCAAACACAAGCACACACTTTCAACAGCCTGAAAGCCCTTCCTGGTACTCACAGAACAGAAAGTGAAAGCAATCTGGGTAACTTTGACCACATTTCCAAGCAACTCTGAGTAATTTAGAAACTCCATCTCGGTGAGGTTAAATACACCCACTTCTTAACAAGTCTGGCACTCTCTGACACCCTAAACAGCTCCTTTTGAAGGGAGACAAATGGCAGCATCATGGAAATCTCAGCTCAGCCTTGATACACAGGCTACAATTAAAAGCTTTTAAATCCTTTGAAGCAAGGGTTCACAGAGCCTTTTACTAGCATTACGTTCACACTAGGCGCTGCCAGGAGAATCTCTGCCCCCAAAACATGACACACAAGAATATAATTAATCTGTCCAAGGTCACAGAGCAGGTAATGGCAGTCTGGCTCCCCATCACACAGAAGAGCCCCTTCCTGGCTGCATTTGGCCTTTCACAGGTTGGAATGAAGTGACAACCAGGTTTTTTAAGAAAGGGGGTGGAGAACCTTCACTGAAGGCTTCAGATAGGGAAATCGGGTATTCCTGTTCTGTAGACAGAGTATGCTAACTCGCTGACCTTTGAAATTAATCATACATAGGGCATTAAAAAAGACTGCCATACAGATCTCAAGATTGAGAAGGTAGGCATGCGTTTTCTCCCACCAAATCAACCCCGTTGATTTTCCTGGACAAAGAGTCTGTCTACCACTCATCCTGCCCTAGGTAGCACGTTAAGAATCACAAGGTGCCTGCCAGTAGCTTGGCACAGCACTCAGTGCCCAGGGTGCCCCTAGAGCTCTGTTGGTGAGCTGCCTTCTCTCATCATCCACATCGCAACTTTCAACAGCGGTTGTCAGGAAGAACACGCCTTCCCCAGCAATGCTGCTAAGCGCGCCCCTAGCCAGACGGACAGACACACCCCTCGGAAGCGCTGCCCCTTCGGTTGGGCATTTTCATTCTCTCTCCTTTAACAAATATTCTTCCACTGTCATTACGAGATCCCCCGCCACCTCCACCCACCCCCCTAAAAATGGCCCCAAACCCCCAAAAGCCCCTGCTCACCCTGGTCTCCTGACTTAATGGACAGTTCCCTTCTCTTACCGCTCAGCCACCACCTCAAACTCCTTAGTAGGCAGAGGGTGCTGCGCTCCACCAGTCCGGTTGCGGGGCTGGCCCGAGGGTCGATTACTCATGACCATCCCTCCTCTCCCTCATGCTGGGTATCCTCCTTTCCTCCCTCAAGCGGGGTGACACCCGCCGCACCCCGGACGGTCCCCCCGCGGCCACGCCCCCGCGCTCACCCGCAGTCAGGGGCGGGACACCAGCGGCAGTCAGGGTCCGAGGCCAGGTACCGGCGCAGCATGAACTCTTCGTACTTGTGCATGAGCGGCGGGTCGGCCAGCAGCAGGCGGATGTCGTGTGGGTTGAGCCGCTCGCTGCACTCGGGGCAGCTGATGGGCACGCGACTCTCGCTGATCTCCAGGCGCAGGTAGTGGCGGAGGCAGTCCCGGCACGAGCGATGCGGGCAGCTGAGGAGGCGCGGGGCCCGCTCGGGCGGCAGGCGCACCAGGCACAGCGGGCACTCCACCTCCTCCGAGCCGCCGCCCTCAGCCGCCTCGTCCTCCTCCGGCCCCGCCGCC